ATATATATATATATATATATATATATATATATATATATACAAAAAGTCAATGTATTGTTGTTTTTTTATTTCCTTACTGCAGTTGGCCGGTTCGTCGGATTCGTCCACGCAGTCGTAGTCTCTATCGCACACCCAGACTCGTGGTATACAGCGTTTGGTGATGGCACACTGGAACTGGTTAGGAGCACAGGTCACCTCAGCTGCAAGACAACACGACGACACTCAGCCTATCAGCTCATCAGAAAACAGCCTCATACATAGTTTAAATATAAAAACTTTAACTAATGAGAAATATAGGACTAGACTTACGGCAGTCCTTTTCATCTTCTCCCTGGCCGCAGTTGTTCTGACCGTTACAACGCAAGATTCCAGGGATACAGCGGCTAGGATGCGAGCACTTAAACTGACTGGGCAGGCAAACGTGGATGTCTGAACGAGGACAAAAATGAGTGTTCATTAAGCAAATGTCCTAAAGATGATAATTTCAGTCCTACACAATTGCTTGGACATCATACCACAGTTGGCTTCATCAGAGTTGTCCTGGCAGTCGTTGTCTCCATCACAGATGTAAGCCGGGTTGGTGCAGAGACCTGTGCCACACTGGAACTGGCCTGGTCTGCATTTAAACTCGGCTAAAACCCAAGAACAGAGTATGAGAATGTTATGTATGTTTGAGTGTCCATGGTGTCTCTCACAGATAAAGAGCCCTGATACTTACGGCAATCGGCAGGTTCATCTGAGCGGTCTCCACAGTCATCCTCAGTATCACACTTCCACCAGAAGGGAATGCACTTATCATTCTTGCAGACAAACTACAGTCAGAGAGAAAGAAGAGAGAGCACAGACAATTAGCCTAGAGTTGTTTCTGACAAGAACATGTCAAGGTAATACTGCACCCCAAAAATCACAAGAAAAAAAAAAAGCTTTTTTAGGACAATTAGGTTTTTTTGCATGGTGACATTTTCATTTGACTTCTGACTACACAATTTCTAACTCTACTTCTCATTACCAAAATGCAAAATAAAAAAAAGAAATAATAATAATGGTCATTACTGTATCGCAGTGTTATTTTAGTGTTACTTTAATATTATTGATATATTATTATAGTGTTCATAAAAATGTTGAAGTTTTTTTTTTCTATTTTCAGTTTTCATTTTTAGTCATTTTGTTGGGTTTTTGTAATAAAAAAAAAAACTTCTATTATAATATTATAAATATTTAGAATGCAAATAAATATTTATTAATTTTTATTACCAGTTTTAGTAATATTATTACTTCAAATTAAACGTTTTCAAATGTAACTTATTTCAAATTTTTGTTTTAATTCTTTTTTCATTTAATCTTTTAAAAAAATTTTCAGTTTTATTTTTAATGAACAAACATTTTTTCAGTTTTTTTTTGTTAATAATAACGCTGCTATACTGTAAATGAAGAAAAAAAATGATTTTTTTTTAAAAAGTATATATTAGAACTGCTAATGTGTTGTTAATCTATTTAGTTAGTTAGTTAGAAATAAAGAAATACTACAACATTCTTTTTCTTATTTAAAATCATCATAAATTGATGGCAGCACAATAAACACTGATATAATGTTGAAACACTTGTTAATGTGTTAGCAATTTCAGTAACTTTAAAATGCGAATCAAATAAGAACCACATTAAGAAAAATGAATATTACAAGTAAAATGTGCTGGCATTCTGCATTTCGAGAAAATGTTTGCTTATTTGTGGCAAAATAACACACACCTGACTGGCTGTACAGTTGGACAAGCACTGTTTTCCATCAGCAGCCAGATAGAAGTTGGTGGGACAGGCACACTTGTAGCCTCCTCCAGGTGAGAGCAAACACAGGTTACTGCAGCCACCATTATCCACCTGACACGGGTGACCTGACACTGCAATTACAAGAGCATCAGAGAGGAGAAAGCTCAGAAAGCACATCAAACACCGCAGGAACATTTCTATACACAGCATGTGTGCATCTTCTCACCCTCAGGTTGTCTGGAGGGATGATAGATGTGTAAGTCCATGGGTCTGTGCAGGGTGCTAATCAACATGGTCTTGTTGGTGCCCAGGGTTTTGTGAGCTCTGTTAATGGACTTGGTCTCCCAGTCGGTCCAGTAGATGTACTCCTCAAATAGAGTCATAGCAAAGATATGAGGGATGTCTTGATTCAGCACTGTGGGGAAGAGAACACAAGACCCATATTTAATAAAGCAAGAAACAGAATATTGAAATAAGGGTGAAACTGTTTTTATCCTTCAGATTTGAATGGATCATAAAAAGCAGTTTATAGTATCATTGGTTAATATCAATCTTCCAATCTTCATGGCCTTGATTACATTAGCAAAAAAAACAAAAAAAACACAACTTCATACAAAATTAAGAATAAGTGACAGACCAAACATATTAACCAATATTTGTAGGCTATTTTCATGACATGAAAAGTACTAATTTTAGTACTTCATATTAAACGGATTTCAGTTCATTGACAAGCCAACCATTTTTTGTTTAGTTACCTTTTTATTTTAATTATACAACTGAAATATTCTAAAAATAATTATATATATATATTAGTGCTGTCAAACGATTAATCACATCCAAAATAAACGTTTTTGTTTACATAATATATGCGTGTATGCTGTGCATATTTATTATATATATATATATATATATATATATAAATACAAACACATGCAACCAAGCCAACCATTTTTTGTTTAGTTACCTTTTTATTTTAATTATAAAACTGAAATATTCTAAAAATAATTATATATATATATATATTAGTGCTGTCAAACGATTAATCGCATCCAAAATAAACGTTTGGCTTCCAATAGACCAAAAAACAGGTCCACTTGCTTGATTAACTGTTGTAGAAGTTTGCATGAATCTTATTACATTATGTTTATAAGATAATATTGATTTCCTGGCATCTCCTGACTTTAGCAGCACAAAGAAACTGTGAGGTTTCAAAGTCGAACCCTTTCAATCTAGGACAGATCTAGCATGTTCTTGCGTAAGCTTTCTGAATATTAGGAATTCATATGGAAATAAACCTCCTCCTCACTGCCTGTCTTTTGCACATACCAGTCTCAAAAACAATAGATCGACTGTAATATTACATAATACAGACAGTCTATGATGTCATTTATTGGCGACATGAAGGCTGGGTCACTCCTTTGTCTAAACTAATTGCCTGAAGAAAAATGACCTCATAAGCAGTGTGTGTGTGTGTGTGTGTGTTTGCATTCACCAATGTGTCTGTTGGATCCATCCAGGCTGGAAAAAGCAATGTAGTCTTCACGAGCGTCTGCCCAGTAGATGCGGTCATTAATAAAATCTAGCGTCAAGCCGAAGAAAGGCAGACAAGATCTTTCAACTTGACATTTGCCCATATTTGGCTTCCAATAGACCAAAAAACAGGTCCACTTGCTTGATTAACTGTTGTAGAAGTTTGCATGAATCTTATTACATTATGTTTATAAGATAATATTGATTTCCTGGCATCTCCTGACTTTAGCAGCACAAAGAAACTGTGAGGTTTCAAAGTCGAATCCTTTCAATCTAGGACAGATCTAGCATGTTCTTGCGTAAGCTTTCTGAATATTAGGAATTCATATGGAAATAAACCTCCTCCTCACTGCGTGTCTTTTGCACATACCAGTCTCAAAAACAATAGATCGACTGTAATATTACATAATACAGACAGTCTATGATGTCATTTATTGGCGACATGAAGGCTGGGTCACTCCTTTGTCTAAACTAATTGCCTGAAGAAAAATGACCTCATAAGCAGTGTGTGTGTGTGTGTGTGTGTTTGCATTCACCAATGTGTCTGTTGGATCCATCCAGGCTGGAAAAAGCAATGTAGTCTTCACGAGCGTCTGCCCAGTAGATGCGGTCATTAATAAAATCTAGCGTCAAGCCGTTCGGCCATGTGATCTTATCTTGAATGATGATGTGGCGATCTGTGCCATCCATGCCGATGCGGCCAATATGTGGCACTTACAAAAAATATATTACTTTTTTTTTTTTGTAACAACCAGAAGAAATAATAATAATGTGGTAACAACCTTTAGAAGAGTTTTTTTTTCACCTTGCCCTTCAAGGTTACTGTACTCACCTGAGTCTGTGCAAAGTGGGTTTTTGGGAGCTTCATCTGATTGGTCTCTACAGTCAAACTCTCCATCACACTCCCAGTTCTTCTGCTTCAGGCACTGGCCATTAGCACAGCGGAAATCATTCGGCCCGCATGTGGGATATTCTACATTATGACAGGAAAGACAACATCTGACTTAATGTATGCTTCACTGTGTGGGTCTGTGTGACTAATAATAATAAATAACACTAAAAGATGCAACAATAAAATGGACACCACATGCTTACCACACTCGGGCGATTCATCAGAGCCATCGCGGCAGTCAATGTCATGATCACACATGAAGTTTTTGGGAATACACTGATAATTCTGACACTGGAACTCTGAGTCATCACAGGTCTTATTGAACACTTGAGAGAGAGAGAGAGAGAGAGAGAGAAACACATGCAAAAAAAATAGTAAGAAATAAAAAGAGTGATTAAATAAAGAAACTAGGCAGAAATAGTTGCAACAGTTTCTTCCAAGGATTTCCATGGCACAAAATAAGCAATTCCTCTTGCAACTCACCACAACCAGCCTTAATGCCCTCATCTGCACCATCAGGACAGTCCTTGTCCCCGTCACACTTCCAGCGTTGAGAAATACACATGTGAGAGCCAGGACACTGGAATGCCTCTGGACTGCAAGTCTTCGTCTCTGAAAGAGATACATAAACTCAGTGTCACTTACACATTCTATCATCCAGCCTTAACTAGATTGACACTGAGATTCATCAAGGCTAATATAAAGACAAAAATTGAATGTTGGTAAGCAAACAGTTGATGGTAGCCACTGACTTCCATAGAATTTTTTCAAATGGCTACTATCAACTGTTTGGTTACCAAAATTATTCATTTGTGCTAAACAGAAGAAAAAAAAACTCATACAGGTTTGGAAAAACTTGACGTAAGCAAATGATGACAATTTAAATTTTTTGGTTGAACTATCCCTTTAAATAGCATAGAGGTTCTCAGTTGTCTTACACGGTCACAGATATGAGGATAAAACGATGCATAATGTAAATAATAATATGCAACCAACCATATAATCATGCCTAGTAAGATCAGCTAAACAGTGGACAATTATACTTCCTTTTCTCTGTGGGAAAGAAAGTGAAAGGTCAATTTCATTATGCAATATCACACATATTATATTTGCTCTGAGAATGAGGGGGTGTGTCAGTGCATGCTGATGTGTGAAGAGTCTGACCGGGACAGTTTCTTTCATCGGAGAAGTCTCCGCAGTCATTGGAGCCATCACAGCGCCAGGAGGGGGCGTAGCAGAGTGTAGTGAACTCACACTGCTCAAAGGTCTCGCCCTTCACTCCAAGCAGATAGTAACTGGAGCAGTCAGTGGGGCCTGAAAGAGAATGTACCGAAAGATTGTATCCGTTCGAGAGAATATGTAAATATGTTAAAACCTGCAACCTTTTGTTTTGGTTACTAGACCAGATTAATACTTACTGCAGTTCATCTCATCACTGGCGTCCTCACAGTCCACCACCTGATTACAGCGACTAGAGTTAGTGATGCAGGAACCGTCTTTGCACTGGAACTCAGCAGCACTGCACAGAGTCACTGAAGTAAACAGAGATGGATACAGTGAGGAACTATTACAGCTGCACTTTTTCTAGTCAACCACTCAAAAAAAAGAATTTCAGGTTTGTATTTTCCTTAATCTCCATTTATTTCAGACAATCACACTCCCCCTTGCTTACTGTTGCATGGCAGCTCATCTGAACCGTCTCCACAGTCATCAGTGCCGTCACACCAAGAGCTGTGTTTGATACATCGTCCATTAATGCAGCGCCGGTAGCCCTTCTTACACATGCGGTTCGCTTGAAAAAAAAAAAAAAGATGGAGAAATTCAGCTTTGCCATTGCAGGAATTAAATATGTTTTACAAAATGCTTTTATTTTAAGTTCAAAATATGTAAAACTTCAAATATCAAGCTTTCTAATTTGGAAATGCTTCTGAAAACTACAAAGCAATGAATGAGAAGCAGTGTCATGCTTACCGCAGTAGGACTGCTTCTCATCAGACTTGTCCTTGCAGTGGCCGAGACTGTCACAAGTCAGGCTGTACTCGATACAGTCGCCGTTTCCACATTCAAACTCATCCACGCTGTTGCAGGTTGTGTTCTCCGCTGGGAGACAGAGAGATATGCTTTAATTTTATGCTGCACTTTTCAGAGGAAACTAATGGAGCATGCTCAGAACAGGACAGGCTTATACTTTAGACACTAGCTTCCTGTTCGTCTCTCTCACCAACACAGGTGTTGTCTCCCAGTAGTTTGCGCTCTCCACGGCAGCTGCAGTTGACTCGTCCTTCTGAAGTGAGCAGACACAGGTCCTGACAGCCTCCATTATTGATGAGACATGGAGAAAATTCACCTACAGACACAAATGACCAATTTCAAATGAATTTTGGGGCAGTGTAATACATAAAATCATCCTCCGTTCCATTCATTTTCATAATTAGTTAAAAATCAATTGTGTCAGTTTTATCAATTTTGTGTGCTAGTGTAAATGAATAAGTATATAAATAAATAAATAGATTAATATTTACCCTTTTAAGCCATTTCAGAGCAGTGTTACTTTAGTATCACTGAGATACTATCATAGTTTTTTAAGTTAGAATTTAAATGTAATAGAAATTTCATTTTCTGTTTTCATTTTAATTTCAAAGTTTTACTATTTTGACATTTTTATTCGTTTTTGTTGTGAAATACGTATTTTTTACTTTATTTGAGTTTAAATTTAGTTATTTTAATACCTTAAAAATGAAAAATGTTGCCTTGTCAACTAGCTGAAATCAAATATATCTTATTTTATTTTCAGATAACATTTAGGTAATACAATATTTTATGGTTCTAGCTTCTGTAGACTATAATAACCTTGTGCAAATAATACTACTTCTAATATTGGCATGCTGAAAAAATATTTAAACCATAACTCTTTTCTTATAACACATGGATAAGTCAGTTTTCAGTACAAAACTTACAGCTATTGGTGTCTTTGGCCACAGCAATGATGCCCATTGGCTGTTGAGGAATGTCGGCACGTAGGACTTTCATATCTGTGCCGTATTTATTAGCTCTGAGCACAGCTCTGCGCACCCAGTCTGTCCAGAAGATATAGTCACCATACACCGCCAAACCGAAAGGATGCACTGGCTCGTTCTTTAGCACCACCTAATCACAGGTACGATTTACATTCATTCATTTTGCAAAGAAATTCAAGGTGTACAAGATGTCAGTAGTGTGTGTACTCTAAGAATCAAGCTCATGAACTTTGCGCTTTTAGAGTCATGATCTACCACGCAACAGTCAAGAACTCTTCCTTTCCCATGAACAAACAGAAAAAGTAAGACATAAATAGAGAGGAACTCACGAAGCGTCGACTGCCATCATACTCGCATCGCTCAATCTTGTCAAATGTGGCATCTGAGAAATAGATTTTCTCAGCACGGTGGTCGATGGCCAGGCCGTTCGGGGTGCGGATGTTACTGCCGATGATCACAAGGACATTCGCTCCTGAAAGAGACGCTCGCATGATACTTGGAGTCTGTTCATTCCAGTTAGTCCAGAACATCAAGCTGAAAGAAATAGCACCCAAAATGGAATAATTGAAACAGAAACTGACATGTGAGGTCTACTTACAACAAAAGCAACACAAGATTAAAAAAAAAAGCCCAAAGTACACAACAGAGTAATTTAATATGAATAATTTAATAATAATATTAAATATCTTTATTTAATATTATTAAATAAATAGATTATTGAAGTATTCAATAATTATATATTTTTAAATAAAACAAAATAAATTGCAAAAAATAAATTAAATAAAATTATAAATCAATTATTACAATGAATTATGTGAGCATCACAAAAATGCCTATTTTGGGGATTTGTTTTATAAGATTATGAATTAATTATCATAATCATTAATTATAAGAACATCACTTTGGCAGTTAAAGCTAAAATTAAGATTTGTGATATAGGTTTTTAAATAAAATTGTTAAAAAAAATTATATATAAAAATGTTTTCGGTATTTGTTAGGGTAGGAGTTCATACTGAATATGATTCAAACTCTTGGGATTGTAGGCCCAGGAAAATAATCAAAACACAGCATTGCATCATGGCAAATCTGATATACAATGTTCATACTCTTGGCATTCATCCAGAACAAAGGCTCTGGGGTGGTCATCCCCGGACATAGTGACCACAGTGTCTCTGTCAAAAGCTCCAGTGCGACTCTGGTCCACAGTGTGCCGTGTAATGGTGGAGGTGGTGTAGCTGGTCCAGTAAAGTGTGTCCCAACCCCGGTGATAAGCCAAACCTTCAATTGATCCTACACCTGTTCAAATGAAAAGAAGAAAAATGCTCTTAAACTGAGTAAGTATATAGAGAATCCTGCTCTGACTGCTTGTTTCTGATCCAAGAACAACTCTACTGCATCCAATCTGTTTTTCTTCATTATAATTCTGTGCACAGACACACTGTATTTATTTTGAACAAACTAACTCTACTGCACACTATAGCTAAAAATGAAACGAAAAACGAGGCATCTGAACTTCTTGGAAAGGATGGCAACAACTTCAAACTGGATTAATGTCATCTAAGCTTCATAGAGTAAACCAATTCTATGATTAACACAGGGCAAGTCCAAAACATCTCTTTTTAAACTCCTTATCCTGTCCCAGTGAACAGTTTAATCCCATGATACGTGTGCATGTTGGTTTCAGCGTGCTGTGAGATAGCCGTTGTTGCTGGTGCATGTGTGTGTTTAGTGGCTTAGTGTCATCCGGTCATTTCATGGATGGGTGCCTGTGCATACAAGACCCCTCCCTCTGTGAATCTCTTTAACCACGGTGACTAGTTCTTTCACAAAGAGAGGACTGCTGGAAGAGTCTCAGACACAACGCTGGGGTGAGAAGCAATGTGGAGCAATCAGCACCGTCGAAAGAGTCCCAATGAGTCGAAGTCACACTGAATAATAGTCGCCCTCCACAAAATGTATGAGCCCACGAGGGCCTTCGCTGCATCTATCTGCATCACACCAATGGCTGTTTTACGACAGCGATTGCTCCACCATAAAACAGGAAGGACACTCAACCAAGCGGTTTACTTTTGCTAAAAACCAATAATGATCCTGTAAAACACATCAGTTTTTAGGCCAAAGGCTTAAATATACTTGCATAATAGCCACAGCCAACAGATGAGACGTCATCACAGAAACAACGTTGTTCTAGGAAAAGGCCAGTAAACCTGACAATCGATGTATTAGATGATGATACCTGAACAACCACCCATTGTACTTTGAACTTGGAGGTCAGGAGGATCGTTATGGTGTTTGGTGTTAGTCATTCCTCCTACTACTTCTCCACCTCTGCGAGAGAAATCTCACATTAGGACAGACCCGAGGAGAGTCGTCTTGCTTTCCTTGCAGCAGAAGGACAAAGTCCTGGAACAGACAAGCTAAAGGACTTGGAATGAATCTGAAGAGTCATTTAATTGATCATAAGAGGAAAGTTGCATTGGGCACTTAGATTCAAGTAGAATCGACAGTTCGTAATGTAACGGCCATTGACAGATGCAGGGAATCACGTTTTGGAGGGTTGCCTGGTTTCACTCAATCAATCCAAGCAAACAGCAATCATGGATGGCCGTAAGGTAAGCACCTTCCATAATTTCAAATGCGAGATGAAATTTAATAGTGATCACATGTGAAAGGAACTGTTTTCACATTACAAATGATGAAACATAAATGTTTATGGTAATACTGGAAGTCTTTGGCTGCATTCGAAACCTTGTTGTTATTAACTAAAATTAAGACACATTGTTTGTTAATTTAAATAATGTCTGTTAATTAAAATAAACCTGAAATAAATTACTCATTTTGCTAAATGTTGCTTTGACAACTAGCTGAAATAAAATAAATTTGAGTTGAAGTACAAAATTACTAAATCTGAAATAAAGGTCCAATTAAAAAGTAAATTTACTAAAATTAATATAAAATAAAAAGCAAAAATATAAAAACAAAAGCTAATTCAAAATATGAATAACAACTAAATAGTATATACATAATATTAAAATAACGCTGACTCGAAAGCTGAAAAATGTTGCCAGCATACAAATCCAATAGGTTCATAATGATATAATATACCAACTTGTACTCGATTCTACTTGAATCTATTATATTATATTGTTTTATATCATATCATATTATATTATATACTGACTATTTACTCACTTTTTTAAAGAACATTTGATTTCAAAAATTTTGATGATAGAAATTAGCATTGTAGTCCCTGGATATTTGATTGGTTATTACAAAAGCTCACTTGATTTGTCCTATATTACTAAATGTTAAATTATGAAGACTAATGATAACTGACTAGGCAGTGACCCAGCTGTATTACCTTTCATACACAATCTGTGTGAGACAAACTTAATTATAAAGTGTATATATAATATTTTATTTATTTATAATTAATTAATTTATATTTGTTTATTTATTTTTTAAATGTCCTCTACGTACCAGAAAAAAAGTGTTAACATTAATTCTCAACTTCCTAGGAGGATATATTGCTAAATGCTAATGCTAAACACTAACAACCACCCCAGCAGAAACTGCCTTTATCTCTTGGAGTAAACACCCCAATGATGCTTTGCCATGTGAGGAAGTTATTAACTCTCAAAAGGGCTAATTATTAGCCTGAAGCAGACGGCGATCTTCATCTGGAGTTTGAACGTATGCCATCCCACACTTCAGTAAATTGCTCTTCAGTGTGTTCAGTATGAATATTAGCCATGATTATGGGAGTCTGAGCTGGGAACTAACACGGGTCTTAGCTCCCACTCTGGACGCAATAGTCATGCTGATCGGGCTGGTGGGACACTCGCTGGTCATCTACGTCCTGACCAGACGGAGGAGGAAAAATGGACTCCAGTCTCTTCAAGGGACAGATACGTTACTTTTAGCCTTGAGTGCTTCGGATCTACTGCTGCTCATTTGCCTGCCCTTCCACACTGCCGCTATAGCACTGGGCTACTGGCCCTTCAGCAGCATCCTATGCAAAGTCATCAGTTTCCTGGGAGTGGCCTGTAACTCGGCGAGCGTATTCACACTAGCTGCATTAGCGGTAACGCGCTACCTGATTGTGGTGCACCCCACTTGGACGTATCGTTTCCGAATGCGCCGCTGGCTCCGGGTTACTGTGATTCTCATGTGGGTGCCGGCCGTGGCTCTTGCAGCACCTCAGTTTGCTTTCCGCCAATTGAGGACTGTGCCCATCCTCTGCTTTGCGTTTCTATCAGACCTCAGCCAGTTGGTCTACAGTACCATTCTGTTCCTATTCAGCTTTGCTTTCCCTCTGATCATCATCGTCGTCATGTACACCAAACTCTACAGCTTCCTGCGAAGGACGCGACTGCAAGGTACCGTGCCGCAACTGGAGCGCTACCAGAACCAGGTGACCAAGACGTCGATCCTGTTGGTGTTAGTCTTCACCATCTGCTGGTTGCCATCCTACATCCTCATGTTCTTGCTCATTGCTACCAATAATAGAAATATACACGCACATCATCTCAACTTCGCCATCATTGCCCGGCTGTTAGCGAGCTCCTCGGCTGTAGCCAATCCGCTACTCTATGCTTTCATGTCAAACAAATTTCGTAGAGAGCTGCTGACATTGGGACGGGTGTGCTGCAAAGGTTGCAGGTGCGTTATGTGTCCAGGAAGTGCCATAGTGGAGCCCTTTAACCCTGTGGAGCTGGACACCCCTCCCCAACCATGAGGATAAAGTCCCGGACCATGCAGAAGCTTTTAATGTGTTTCTGCTGTAATGTGTTTGAACTACATTGATTTGTTCTGCCAGATATAGAGCCTGAATTATCTAAGTGAAGACTTCGATGATATTATGTAATAACAGATCTTTATGTGAACATCAAACTATATCATATACTGTTAAGAAATGTACTTTAGAGACTAGAAATGTCCATGTCAGACTTTTAATATATTTGAAACCATTGATGAAATTTCTTTCTTTACTGACTCATTATATGGCATATCAGGAAGAAACTGTCTACAACAAAAGCAACACAAACTTTGAATGAAGGGTTTTGCTTTTGGTGTATTGTTTTTTTTTCAATGCTTGCATTGTTACTAAATGTTACTTGTGTTCTTACTACTTCATGCTACTATAGGAGCTGATAAACATTTTCAGCCTCCACTGGCATCTGTCTAACCATCTAAAATGAATGACATTTAAAAAAATAAAATAAAAAAAAAGTTCACTAAAATGTACATTTTACATTTTAAAAGGTAATTTACTCCTGAGATGGCAAAGCTCAATTTTCAGCATTATTCCAGGTTTTCAATGTCACATGATCATTCAGAAAACATTTGAATATGTTGATTTGCTGCTCAAGAAACATATCAATGTTGAAAACAGTTGTGCTGCTTAATATTTTTGTGGAAACCATGAAACTATTTTCAGGGATTTTTGACGAATAGAAAGTTCAAAAGAACAGCATATATTTGAAATAGAACTCTTTTATAACAGTGTAAGTCACGGTCACTTCTGATCAAATGCATTGTTGCTGAATAAAGACTGTATTTTCCAAATTAAAATAGCATTTATTTTTTCAAGTACTTGGTTTCATTATAATTTCTCACTCTTAGGGGCCCTATCATACACCCGGGCGCAATGCAAAAAGCGTTTTTGATAGTTTCAGCCCGATGCAGTTCTCATTTTCCCGTACTGCGCCGCGTTGTTTAAATAGCAAATGCATTTGCGCCCATGGGCGTGTGCTGGTCTAAAAAAGAGGTGTGTTCAGGCGCATTGTTGGTGCAATGCTATTTTGAGGAACTGAAAATAGACTGCGCCATAGACCAACTCAAACCTGGTCTAAAGTCTGGTGCAATATTTTTTCTTTGTTATTTAAAGAGCGCGTTAGTAATATGCGCCTATATGCGGGAGCACAACGCACGTACACTTTACTTATTTTAATATTTACTTATTATTAGAACACACAGGGACACGCAGCAGCACAAAAACATAAAAAAAAAAAAAAAATTACATTCCGCCATGTAAATAGCGAAACCACCATGGCGCGAGCGAAACTAGCTTTTAAAGGGGATGGGAGATGAGACTCTGATTGGTTTATTGCACCTTACGCGCAGAACACACCCATTACTCATTAAGTGAATAGGGACAACCCGTTTAGACCATGCGCCCGGGCGCGTCGACCGTTTTCCCGTCATTAAACTAGCAAAAGTGGATTCGGACATGCCCTGAGTGCACCTGCGCCGTGCGCTTTAGACCATGCACTTAGAGCGTTAAAATAGGGCAAAACAGAGCAATAAAAAAAATGAATGAAAAGATTGGGCACTTACTCTCCACTATGGTCTTGCGGTCAGAGCCATCATCGCTGATATGCTGAATGTTACCAAAGTGAATGTCGCTGTAGAAGATCCGGTTGGCTCCCTTTCCACCGCCACCCCTGTAGTCAAAGGTAAGGGCGATGACATTCTTCATGTGCTCTGGGTCTTCAAAGGGTTTAATGGGAGCATTGAGGTTTGTTTCATCCGATAGGTGAATGCTCTTTAGTATCGTGCGCTCCGAGTAGAGGAGGTAGCCATCGTAATCCCTGCAGCTGTGGCTGTCCTCTGCCAGCATGCCGTGGGCACAGGCGCAGGTACGATTGCCATTACCCCGGTACAGACACAGCTGTTCACAACCACCATTGTTCACTTTACAAATGTTGGTACCTGCAAACAATATTAAGATATTAAAATGAACACAGTTGCTATTGTTAAAATCCAACTTTTTATATACTAGGGTCTCTTGGTTGGCTAAAACCCTGGAGGGTCCTTATGATTGGAAACCCCTGCTATATAGTCAAAAAAAAAAGTTTTCAGGAGGATACACACCTTGCTGTCTTGCACGGTTGAAGACTTTAATGTCTTTGAGCTGTACACCAATGCCTGTTCTCAGATACACCATGTCTGTGGCATTGTCCTTGTTTCCTCTCTTGATGGAGCCATTGGCATGCGTCCTATTGGAAACAGGAGAAGATAAAAAGCTCATTACCTGTAAAATCCACTGCAATAGCAAGATATAAAAACCTTTGAGAACATAAATTAATATGAATAAAAGGGGCCAGTTAAAAAGGTGTAATAATAAGCAATAGTCAAGGAATAATGTGTTGGCACCTGTCACTCCAGTAGATGTAGTCCTCAAACACAGAAACAGCAAACATGTCCATGTTGTTACTAGACAGCACCAGCTCACGGTTTTCTCCAGTCTCCAGATTTATGCGCTCAATTTTGTCTGTACGTGCATCACACCAATATAGCAGGCTCTCCTACACATTGTACAACATTAGTTACATAACACTTACCATACTGTTGTGGTTTCACTGCTAGAATATATTTTTATGTAATTAAAATACAAATTAAATTAAATAAACACTACCATCCAATAGTTTGGGGTTGCTAAGATTTTTCTTTTTTAATTGTTCAAAAATACATTTAAAAAAGTACCATTGTGAAATATTATTATTACAGTTTAAAAGAACTGTTTACGCCAAAATATTTTCAAATGTAATTTATTCCCGTGATGGCAAAGCTGAATTTTCAGCAGCCATTACTTCAGTCTTCCGTGTCACATGATCCATCAGAAATTGTTCTAATATGTTGATTTGATGCTCAAGAAACTGTTGAAACAGCTGCTTAATATTTTTGTGGAAAACATGATATATTTTTATATATTTTATAGAAAAAATAGCATTAAAAAAATCTTAATAATAATAACTAATCATCTTCTAAAAGTTGATTAGCAATTAAATCTGGTACCAGAACCCAAAATAAACTTGTTCTGCAAAAGAGGCACAGTGTGTTTATGTACAAACCTTGTAATCAATGGAGATGCCATTGGGCCAGCTGATGCTGACATTGACAAGAACTACTCTTTCAGAACCATCCAAACGAGATCTTTCAATACGCGGATACTGACCCCACTCCGTCCAGAACAGATACCTGTACACACAAATACTTGAGTCTAAGATCATGAGATCATACACTGTTTTCTCATGTTCATAGGCACACATTCCCCATCTTCACTTAAAACACAGACATATTCCCTCACCCTTTCTCTGGATGTACAGCAATGGCACGAGGTTTGTCCAGACCCTGAGAGATGACCACATAGCGGAAGGAGCCGTTGAGTCTGGCCACCTCAATCACATCAAAGCCTTGATCAGTCCAATAGATGTTGCCTATTTAAACAAAATAACACAATGTGTTAGATGCATTAATATATAATGCGCTTTTAATTTGTGTTTGCGCACATTTGCACACCTGCAATCCAGTCCACGGTGATGCCTTCCACACGTCCAATGCCATTGGTCACTATGTCCTCCCTCCAGGTCTGGTCTCTCTTGGCTCGGCTAATAGTGCTAAGGCCCATGTCAACCCAGTAGATGGTGTCATTCTCTACAGGGTAAAAGAAGCACAAAACACCTCAAGTTAGTTGCATTCAGAGCAATTTTCAGACTGATATTTGCATACTCACTAGGGCTGTGCGATTAATCGCGATTTGAGACGTTCTGCGATATGGATGCGATATTACTCTGTTCCAGAGCATATGCATGACTGCCAGCCTTGAGTTGCAGTCTTACTAACCAATAGAGTGAGCGCACCTCCGTTCTCCCCAATCAGCACTGCTCTAGCCAACTGCGTAAACACCCACCATTAAAAAAAAACTAAAACCAGAAAGCAGGAGAGAGACAGAGTGGTATTATGGCGTCTACTGGGTCAGATCGATAGTTAGGCAAATTAAAACTAAAGAAAACCGTATGCAACTTAAGCTTCGAAATGACAGACAACAAGAGCTGCGTCACAGTGCATATACCCTTCTCGGTTCTGTTTTCAGTACTGGCGAATAAAAGATACATTCTTAGATGTTTTTGTTAGTACGTGAACGTTATCTTACACATTTTATCTCCCCAACAGATTAATTTGAAATAAGTTTATGATGCATGTTCGCTATTCCCAATTCAGAAGAGCGCACACACAGCCTGTGTCTGTGAATGCTTCTCAGCGAATCCCGCGTCACGGACGAGCCGCTCATGCTTGTCGCACTCACGCAGCCTGTCTCGTAATGCTCGTTTATACTCGCACCCGGCTCCGCACCGCAAGTCTCCACGAGCGCATCTGGCAGTATGGATGAGGCTTGACGCACACGCGCGTAATGTAAACTATAACGATGTCTATTTGATGGATTCTATTGGTGGGATGTAATCTGGCAGATGGCAACCAATAGAACAACAGTAATTCCTATTGGAATAATGCCCAAAACAAAAAGGAATTTTGTAATGGTTTAATGGAAACTATAAGAATTTCTGTGATAGTTTCTATTGTATTTTTCAGCAGGGTAATGATACCCATACTGTGCTGCACATTATTGGCAATATTGAGCTGAAGCTTGACTTTGCAAATTTAAAATCGCAAATTAAATCGCAATTTGATATTTTACCCCAAATTGCACAGCCCTAATACTCACCAGCATGGAAGTCAATGCCCACAGCAAGAGAGGTGCCTGACACAGGTACCAGGGCATCAGATTTATCTGACGGGTCCAGAGGGATGCCACGGATGCCCTCGTGCACAGAGTAGAGCAAAAACGAGCCCATGCCTTTATACAGAAGTGCCATAAACACAATGTTACAATGTGGTCATGTGAAAGCAAATGTTGTACATTAGTGATGTATGTATGAGATCTTGCCTTCACAGGACTGTTGGCCACTCTTCAGACTATATCCAGCCGTACACATGCAGGCTCTTGTAGTTGGTGAAGTTGGCAAGCAAAGCTGAGAGCAGTCGCCATTGTTCTTACTGCAGAGGTTGGTACCTATAGTAGATATCAGACACATCCAAATGGTATCATCTTTGGTTAATAGTTCGCATTATTTTTGAATTATTTATAGTTGTGTTCATTTTAAGCATTAACCGAAATAAGACCTATTATAATATTAATATGTAATTTGTCTTGTCATCTGACAACCCAGGAATTCCCCTTTGATTATGCCAACTATTTTCACATTTAATTGAAATGAAATAATAATAATAGTTGTTGATTTTAAAACCTGCAATTTATAAAGAAGAATTTCAAGAAATCCAAATGAATTTAAAGGGAAAAAGTCACTAATCAATATAAATTACATTATATTTTAAGTGCTAATTAAAATTATCCTCTATTATAACAATTATTTAATCTGTCTTGCCATCTGACAATCCAGAAATTCCTTTTTGATTATGTGATCTATATTAACATTTAATTGGGTATTCTTTAAATTGAATATTTAGTTGAAGTAACACCAATAAAAAAAAAACACCAATAATAATAAGAATAAGAATAATTAAAAAATGAATTAATTTAATAAAAAAAATGTAATTAATGAAATTAATAGTTTTATTTGAAAAATAATACATTTTCCTTTTAAAAATTAGTAATTTTATAAAGAGTAATTTCTCCTTTTCACTTGCATATTCATTTATGGGGACAAAGTCACATGCATTTTAAGGTTACATAATCAATATAAATATGACACCTAGTTGATGAACAGTCTCATTGTAGATCTTCATATGCATCATGGGTGAGGTATTATTTCGGAGAACCTTCCAGTTGCCTCCATCACTCTTATCACATGTACCGATCTGATCTGTGCCCTGATCGGCCCACCACAACTTATCTCCTACACATAAAACACAAGAGGTCAGTCACTTACCTCAAATGGATTTTACAATGCAGTGAACTCTATGACCATTGTTCACAAAAATCACAATTGTGGTTTTTTGGAAAGCACTGTCATCTAGTTATGTGGAAGAATTTTTAAGAGCTGTAGTCTCACACCATTAATACTTAACAGAAACACTTCACAAGTCACAATTAAGTTAGACAAACTTCAGTTCAGTGAGTTACATCACAAAGTTTTAGTTTTTGATGCATTGGAAACAGTTTGATGGTGCTGTCTCACCCATGATAGCGAGGGCTGTAGCTTTGGTGAGTTTTCCTTTAACACCCTCAATGATCTCCAGTCCGGAACCATCCAGCTTACAGCGGTTAATGGTGCTGTTCCCTGAGCTGATCCAGTACAACTGCTCCATGTCAAAGTCTATGGACAGACCTGCCATGGGAAGAAGTCAGCGTGTAAAACATCATCTCCACAAGGCCTTCTTTTAGCTTTAGGCAAACAAAAGTTATACAAGACAGGCCACTCACCCACTGGGCCTTTCTGATTGGTGAACAGTAATGTGTGGTTGGTGCCGTCCATGTTGGCCATACTGATGTTGTCACCATCAAGCCAGTAGAGCTTCCTGTAAACAATACGCAAAAAATAAGACAACAGTAGCTAAGTCCTGACATAAAGAAGATATCTGCAAATTATTTGTGACAATGTTTACAATTATTTATAACTATTATAATATTTATTCATATTTTGAATTAGCTTTTGCTTTTATAATTTCAGTTAGTTTTAATAATTTTATGCACTTCTATCATTCTTATTAGTTTATATATATATTTTAATTTACTTATTTTATTTTAACTTGTAATATTTTTATTAGCTTTAATTTTATGTTCTCATTTTAATTTTAAAATAAGTTTTAATAATTTAGTTTTTTTGTAATTCTTATTAGTTTTTTATATTTTTTTATATTTCTATATAGCTTTAATTAATTTTAGTTTTAGTTTAGTATAGTTTTTCATTTTTGTTTAAGTTTTAAATCTAATATTTATATTTTATTCCTGCTTTACTTCAATTAGCAAAAACTATTTTATTAGTTTCAGTTACCAATATTTGTTTATTTGCAAAGAGCACCACATTTGTTGAGGTTCTGTTATTCAAGATTCTGGACATAAAAAGGCATTGTAATGCTTTATTTTGGTTTTAATTAAAAATAAAAGCCAGGAAAGTGTCTTCATATCTCAGTCAGCTGAATGCCTCAAAACACTGTGATGTACTGCCAGCGAGAGAAGAAATAAACACTAATTTATCAAAAACACTGTAGAGGGCAAAACACACCGAACAAATGAAAAACCAGCTGAATGACTTATATTGTCTGCATCCACAAGCTTGCTGATTTTATTAGAAACTGGTGCGTCTAGAAACTAGCACACTGGCACTAAACACATTGGATTCACATTGGCCACACAGCAACACACTGAGAAGTGCAACATGAGGGCAGCCATATTGTCCAGCCTATAGCTCACACTAATGAGCAACGTCTACATTTCTCATCTACACCCTTTACGATCTCCGCCAGAAACATACTGGCACGGCATCTGCTCCTCTCCAAATGTGGCCTACTAAACAAGCTGAGAGCGAAAGAGTCTAAAGAGACTAAAATGACAGAAAGGCACTAATGCTAAGCCTGAACTAGCAATTACGCATGTGTGAGTACTTGTACTAACCCCAGGATAGGATGTAGCACCAAACAGTGAGGCTTGTCCAGTCCATGGATTACAGCATTCTTGAAGGACCCGTCTAGGCGTGCAACATTGATCTGCTTCTTATTCGTATCATAGCTGGTCCAGAAGAGGTTTCTGGAGACCCAGTCTACAGCTAGACCCTGAGCATTATGGAGGTCTAGCAAAGAAAATATATTTTTTTTTATCATGATTAGAATTGTAAACTGATCACACAGGCTGAAAAACAGAACAACATAGCAAATATAAATATGTATTTGTCTTGCATTCTTTAATACAAAAAGTATGTGAACTCTTACTGTATGAAAGTCAATGTATTTGATAACAAAATCTGACATTTATTTTCAAGTAAGATATATTTCACAAGTCTGGGTTTGGCAAGAACGTTTTTGAAAGAAGTTTCTTTCACCCACCCAGACGTGTGCATTTATTTGATCAAAAATAAAGTAAAAAAGTAATATTTTATTACAATTTAAAACAACTGTTTTCTACTTGAATATATTTGAAAATGTAATTTATTCCTGTGATCGTGAATTTACAGCAGCCATTTACTCCACTTCCCATTTTTCAGGATTATTTGATTAATAGAAAGTTAAAAAGAACAGCATGTACTTGAAACAGAAATATTTGTATAAATAAGTTATACATTTATTATATATATATACAGTGGGGAAAAAAAGTATTTAGTCAGCCACCAATTGTGCAAGTTCTCCCACTTAAAAAGATGAGAGAGGCCTGTAATTTTCATCATAGGTATACCTCAACTATGAGAGACAAAATGAGAAAAAAAAATCCAGAAAATCACATTGTAGGATTTTTAAAGAATTTATTTGCAAATTATGGTGGAAAATAAGTATTTGGTCAATAACAAAATTTCATCTCAATACTTTGTTATATACACTTTGTTGGCAATGACAGAGGTCAAACATTTTCTCCCCAAACTTTTGTATAGTAATGTAAATACTTTACAAAATAATTCAGTAGTTTATAATAATTCTTTATTATATTTTTTATTGGGTTTTAAAAGATAAGATAGATACGCTGTTTAAAATGTCTTATTATCAAACATAATGGACCATGATAAAACCATAGTTAACAGGAAACTGACTTCATCCATTCACTAAAAATGACCAGAAGATCAGATGGCTAAAAATAATTGGGGAAAAAAGTGAGTAAAAAAAAGAAAAAAGTTACTTCACTTTTATAGCATCATTCATTTGATGATTCTTTTCAGTTTAATAAAGCAATGAAGGTCCATTTTTAAGTGTTCCTATGCATTTTGGGCCAGTGCTGACTTAGAATAATAGATTTTTAAGCTCAAACCATCATCTCACCAGCTGATACCACCGTCTCCACACCAGTCCCATTGATGAAGGCTCTTTTGATCGTCTGAGTGCGAACATCAGACCAGTAGATGCGGTGCTCCAGAGCATCATAATCCACCACTGTAACATTGTCGATGTCAGGGACAGTGAAAGAGATGATGTAGTTGTAATAGGGATTATCTATGTCCACCCCTCTGATTTCAATCTGACGAGCGTACAGCAGGAACTGACGGTACTCTGGACAAAAGACATTGTCAATTGATATAGTATTATAAAAGTGCATGTAAAACAAAGCATATATACATTTGTAAGCACAAAATCATCTTGTACAAAATATAAGCTATTGTTAAATTGTAGTCATGTATTTTTCTATGAAAATACATATATAGGTAAAGAACATACAGTAGTAGTGAAGTCTACAGTCTCCATATTGATTAGCCTGAACGGAAGAGTGGGCTCCTACTCCTGCGTTTGCCACTATCTAATGTCAGTGTTAATTCATCACTGAACCTACAGGTCCTCTAACTCCAATCACTCTGCTCTCCATACAGCCATACTGGAGGCTGTGCTGCTGAATACTAAAAACTGATCGTGCATCTGGGCGGCAGGGTGCACTGTTGTTTTCTTGACGGTTAAACGAGATTTACAGCCCACACAAGACTACTAACATTCAGCCCGGCCTGAAAAATCTAACATTGAGCATCTATAGCGCCAACGCAAAATGAATCTAAAAGAAAAGCCTCATGCTGTGCCGCAATTAATATACTATCTGTCCTGAAGTATGTGAGATCAGAATTGCTTCATTTAAAATAATAGTGAACTTAAAAATTGTCAGCCACAGTATGATTTTTTTTTTGGTGGATTTTCTAATTGTACAACCACATGTATGCATTAGAAGTCAATTCTTGCTAATAGTCTTCAAATTAAGAAAAATGCTTGTATGATTTTATTCCATTAGTCTGAAGCTGCCACAATAGTTTTTAAATGTATAAACCTAAAAGTGAAGTAATAATGAAATGCTAATGGAGTTAGCTAGACACAAAGAAAACAGCAAGGAGCTCTGTGGCTTTGCTATTTTGCTTACTACTCACTCAAATTGGAACTCCAGCTTTTGGTTACGTTCCAAATAATGTAGTATTACTGCAGTACATTTGTATGTGGAATACCAGGGTGATCAAATACATTCACTAAAACATGCAGAGATTACTGCGTGGATTACTGTATCTCACAATGCAATGCACTTTACCGCCCATTTCCAGTATGATGGATTCAAATGGAAATACTATCAGCAGCGATTTTTTATTAAACAGCCATCATTAATACATTTGATAAATAAAACATACTGAGGTCATGTGACAATACACTGTGGAATAATGCTTATTGTTTCTTAGAACAATTTATATTGTTCCTGTTGCTCAAACAGTAGAATATGTTGTTTGCAATGACAAGGTCATGGGAAATGTAATATATTGTGCAGTATTCAGTAATTAGTAAAACAGTATTCCATTCAGAACTTGCTAACAATTAAAGCATTTGATTGGATCTTAGGGCTGAGGAAGGAGGAGCCTACCGTAGCAGGTGTGCTTGTCTGCCTTGAGTTTCATGAGGTGTGGACAGGCACAGGAAAAGGTTTGGTTGTAGTTGATGAGGCACAGGTGAGAGCACGGCCCTTTCCCATCATTCGCTGCACACGGGTTGGGAGCTGCAAAGGAGGAAGAAAATGTTCAGTGTTATTTTCATTTTTTTTATATAAAACTTTTATTTTTTTATATATTTAATATATTTAGTTTTAATTTTTTCAATCCAGTTTTAGAAATTTTGGCACTTAAACTTATTGTATTTCATTTAGTTGCCAAGGCAAAATTTCTGCTATATGACCCTGGACCACAAAACCAGTCATAAGTCGCACAGGTATGTTTGTAGCAATAGCCAAAAATACATTATATGGGTCAAAATTATCGATTTTTCTTTTATGCCAAAAATCATTAGGATATTAATTAAAGATCATGTTCCATGAAGATATTTTGTACATTTCCTACCATAAATATATCAAAACGTAATTTTTGATTAGTAATATGCATGGCAAAGGACTTCATTTTGGACAACTTTAAAGGCGATTTTCTCAATATTTAGATTTTTTGCACCCTCAGATTCCAGATTTTCAAATAGTTGTATCTTGGTCAAATATTGTCCTATCCTAACAATACATCAATAGAAAAAATATTTATTCAGCATTCAGATGATGTATAAATCTCAATTTCAAAAGATTCACCATTATGACTGGTTTTGTGGTCCAGGGTTACATATTAGCTTAAGTTAACGTTTTTCATCTAGTATTTATATTTTATTTCAGTTAAAGGAAATTGTTTTTAATAGGTTTGATTTACAAAAACAACACGGGTGTTCACAGCTTACAAATGCAACACGAAACATAAACAAGTTTCCTGACAGTTTTTGACATATTAGTTCAGGTCATGCTGGTTCTCACCCTGAGGTTGTCTAGAAGGATGAAACACTTGAAGATCAAACGGCTGAGTGTTTGTTCTTTGGACCACCGTCACATTGTGTCCTGTCCATTTATTGGCTTTAGCCAAAGTGTTGGTCCGCCAGTCCGTCCAGTAGACCTCTCCTCCATACATGGTGACGGCAAAGGGATGTGATAAGTGTTCATGACCCCGAAGCACCTCGATTAGGCCGGAACCATCGTAAGCGGCAGAGTAGATGGCATCAGATCTAAAGAAATATTTTTCAAGATTTTTACAAGATCAAGGTGACTAACTGTGGATATTTTTGCATTTTACTTCACTTTTAGTGCCAATAGTGCATGAATACCTGGCATCAATCCACAGGATACGGCGCTCTAGGTAGTCCACAGTGAGACCGTTGGGCCAGCCACCGTTCCCAGTCTCTTTGTGGATGGTGCGACGGCCCTCCCCACTCATAGATGCAGCCTCTATCCTAGGGGAGCTGGCGTCCCAGTCTGTCCAGAACAGAATACTGGGAGAAAAAAATAAAAATTTCTTGTAACAACCTAATTCTGTCAAGATAACTGAAAAATAACAGAGCTGTCAAAGTATATCATGTTTTACCCATCTCTTGGGTCAAGTGCAATGGCACGCGGATGCTCCACTTCTCCGGCTAGTAGTGTTGTACGCATGGTACCATCCAGCTTGGCCACTTCGATCTGATCCAGGTTACTTTCCACCCAGTAGATGTTTCCTGCGATCCAGTCCACAGCCAGACCCTCTGGAGTGGCCAAACCATACTGAATCACCACCTCAAAACTGGTGAGAGCTGAAACACCAAGACAAGGAGAATTTATAGGAATCTAAGTTAAACCTAGCAATAAAAGGTTTAGGATGTTGAAAAATGCATGAAGAATTTAACCAAAGAAATGATGGATCCAATATAATAACTTATATATAATATATATTATATAATAATAATAATAATAATATATATATATAAATATATATATATACACATATACATTTACTATTATTATTTATTTTTGCCGTTTTATGTCTTTATTTCAATACAACAGTAGACAGTCATTAAATATTTTATTAACATTTGATAACAGCTAGACTATTTTGCCTAATTATATTACACAAAACGCAAAACAAAAAAAAATAAAAAATATATATATACAGTGGTGTGAAAAAGTGTAGGCCCCCTTCTTGTTTTTTAAATTTTTTGCATATTTGTCACACTTAAAAGATTCAGATCATCAAACTAATTTTAATATTAC